ATACATGTGACAGTGTAATAGCTATCTTTGACTAACATAATAACTATAAAAAATAAAAAAAAAACAGACATGAAGTAAACATACTTTCAAAAGTCTCAGGTTGAACTTTTCGAAGGATATCGTAGAAAGCTGCTTTTGCCTTTGGAGATTTAAGTGCTCTGAAGAGTTTTCTCATTTGGTCTTGCTTCACAGGGGAGGCTTCGATTTGGCCATATGTCTCATCGTGGATTATCTTCAACCTCAAAATCTGGTCAGCTATGGACATCACTGGATCTACACTCTGAATGAGCTCAGGCATGTTACAGTCCACCCAAGTTGCTTGTTTTAATTAAAAGAAAAAAAAGTTATTGGACAACACAGCAACAATTCAATTATACTTATGTAATTCTGCATTAGGAGACTGTATTTAGACTTTTCATCTTATCTATTTACCTTTCTCTTCATCTGATACAAGCATGGATGAGCTGAAAAAAGACAAGAGCAACATCACTGTATAGACATTAGATATGCTTTAAGCTGGATTTATTGCAGTGCTGTAAGTGGAACAAATGAGTGCAGGTAGCTCCCTAAAATTCATAAAAATAGGAGATAGAAACATAATATTTTTATATAAATTTCCCTATCAAACTAGTTCAGTACACTGTAACAAATTGCTGTAAAAAAACAGCCAAAACTGAACAGTATCACACTGTTTCTATTGAAAACGGTACTGCACCGTGAAAAACAATGCATTCTGGGCAATTATTACTGTTTTTAATAAAATACTGTAGTATACTGTGAGTAGCATTGCATTTTGGGAATGATTTTAGATTCAACGGTAAGGAGGCTGTCTTTAAACAGAACGCTACTGTATTTCTGAAGAAGACATGTTGTGACATGTGGAAGCAACCTCTAGAACAGGGGTGTCAAACTCCAGTCCTCCAGGTGTCCTGCAGTTTTTCAATGTGCCACAGGTACAAAACACTGGAATGAAATGGCTTCATTACCTCCTCCTTGTATAGATAAGTTCTCCAGAGTCTTGCTAATGACCTATTATTGTATTCAGGTGGTGCAGCAGAGGCACATCTAAACGTTGCAGGATACCGGCCCTCGAGGACTGGAGTTTGACACTCCTGCTCTAGAACTTTCTTTAAGGACTATCCATTTGAATCCTACATTTTATGAGCCAATCCTAAGGAAAGTTATTTTTGATGATTACAAATATTGACATGTTTGGAAGCTCTTTTTCTTTCTTTTGTGTAATTTGACTTGAATTGCTATGATTAGCTGCTAAAGTGAAATTGGTGAATGGATATCAACTGGGAATTTGGAGTTTCACAGAGTTGACTTGGCAGAAAACTGTTTAAATGTTATGCTGGTGTCTCTTTATTAACTCTTAACATTCAAAAGTTTGTCTTCATCTAGCACACATTAAACCCTGACTCCTTAAGCATCATATGCTAATCTGAAATTACTGCATTTTCAGGCGCTTTCTTGATCTCAACCCGGACCAAGGCCAGCTGTAGCAAGATCATCTCCAAGAGGACAGGGAAAACTTTTCAAAAGAAGTCGGTCACTGCCATCCCCCGTGTTTCAACTCTGCTGAAAAACCTCATGAACTTTGAGTGGAATTTCATAGTGAGAACTTTCTAACCAAGCTATAGATATTGTTGCCCCTCCACGCAAAAACAAACAAAAAACTATACAGGCATGAAGGCAACTTATCCCTGAACAGGAGTGTTCTTGAGAGATTTTTTTGGTTTAAAGGTCAGCATAATCTTAAGACATCTCTTTTAATTAAGAGCATAAATTTTGTTAAGGCTCCCACTTTCTGTTCTTTAGATGTAATTTTGACTGTACAGGCACCATGTTTAACTTATCTTGGCAGTGTGTTGTCAAATATTGTTTCACTGTTTTATATTTTGAAGTTGGAGCTCTGATTTTGCCCTAAAGGAAATTCAAGTCTAAATGTTTCATTTAAATTTTTATCAAACTAAAATTTGCAATTTTTTTCTATGCTTTAGATTGAAAGTTAAATGTTTCATTTGTTTTATGTTGCATCATATTGTTCCTCACTTCCACAAAAAGTAGTATTTTGTATTGAAAAAGTAGTGTGCTGAGTTGTACAATGCATTATTTTCATAATTTATTTCATACTTATTTTATTTCAGACTAATCAAAAGGCCACAATTCATGCTTTATTCAAATACTCTTTACATCAGTAAAGAAATTTATTTCACAAAATAGATGGTGATTTTCTTACTGTTTTTCCAGAATATGACTTACTTTGGACAGTTTACCCTCAACATTCTTGTAGAAAAGGTTTAGGTTTAAGGCACACATACGTTGTCGTTTCAAACCTTCGTCTTTATTATGTGGCCCACTAAAGACTGTGTATGAGTCAATGTTTGAGTTGGTTCTTTTTTTTTCAAAATAAATGTTTGACATGATGGAACTTACATTTTCTAAGTGTTTTCTTTTCATGTTTCTATTTTATATTGGAAATTTACAGTAGTAAGCTGTATGTGAATTCAACAGTAATGGTACCATAGAAAAACAGTAATATACTGGCAACACTGCTGCCAGTAGTCTACTGTAAATCTGATTAAAAACAGCAATGTGCTGTAATCAAAAGATTTCTTTTGTGACGGTAATATACTGTAAAGTTGATTACAGTAATGGTACTGTATATTAACGGTATAATGCTAGCAACCCTGCTGCCAGCATTTTACTGTAAAAATACAGGGCAATTTGTTACAGTGTAGTTCTAGTAATAATGACAAAGAACAAAGCCAACTCTGAATTAAATCCATGTGAGAGTCTTTCAGCCCAGTAAAGTAGCAAATAGAAATAACTGTTGTTTGGGATTTTTTAGGGAATCTTGTATAACACCTGGTTTAATTTTTGTCAAGCGATAATGTCGTGCATTTTTTCAGTTACATTGCTGGATGTATAGTCGCGCCCTTTGTCAGGGGTGTCTAAATCCAGTTCTCAAGAGGTACCTTCCTGCAGATTTTAAATGGATTTGTTAATCCAATAAATCCTCACCAGCAGCAGCCATATTAATGGGCACCTCATCTGATTTAGATGTGTTGGCAAAGGAATGTTGGTAGAAAGGCAACTCCCAAAAACTGGACTCGGAAACCCTTCTAATCAAAAATGCAACTTGAATAATCCTTAGCAGGATTTTTTTTAAAAATGCAATAAAGCTTACCTTGGATTGTGAACTTCGTGAGATGTATCATTTGCCAAACTGATAAAGTCCTCAGTAGAGTCTCTTGTTTCAAGAGACATCTGTTCTGCTTGACTAAATAAAGTCTCTCCCGTCAGCGTTTCCTTTTCATCTTTCTCGTCCTCCAACTGCGATGGCTGTGCAGCTGAATAAGTGTCTCCACTTTTCTCTTTGTCAGAGTCGTCATTCCTTTTATCAGTTTTACGGGTTCCTTTCCTCCTCTCCTTATCCCTCCTACAGGCAGAGCACTGGTTCCCCATGAAGTTATTTCTTCACAACAGTGACCCTGTCAGGTATGATTTATTTTAAAACAAAAACCAATGCAAACGAAGAAACTTTACATGCTGCTCATCAAAGTTTACGAAGGGTTTCGACAAAGCCTTTTAAAAGTGAAAGTAGAAGTCTTGTTTTCTAATCTTTGATCGTCTTATGTTTTACAAGTGAAGATAAATAATTCACCATGCCTCTTGTTTTATTTTAGCTGTTAATTATTAACATTAATGCATCATTTGAGACATGAGGTAAAATACTTTACCTTGACATCATGTAGGCCTATAAGCCTGGAAGCAGTTGTTTTTTCCGCATACAGGAAGTAGTCACTCACAGAGCGAACCCAGTTTTTAGACTGTTTATGTGTGAGTGTGTGTGGTGGGAGGAGGGGATTTTTCAGGCATTCTACATAAATTACTGTCATAACAAGAACTATTCTTGCAAATGTTCTGCCACAACAGATTTTAGCAGAACCTATATTGATGAGGACGATTAAAAAAACAATAAATAAAAAAAGCTTGCATTAATCTTAAGATGCATCTGGTGGCTTCTCATGTCTCTCAGGCTACATTTTAAGATTTTACATACTAAATAATTTTTACAGCCTTAAATGGTGATGGTCTAAACATTTTTTTTGTTTTGTTTTGCAAACATGCAGAAATTGAGTTTAAAAAAATGCAGCGTTTATGCAATAATGGACACAAAAATATCACTACAGGCGAGGCTTTAATCACAATATTGGTACAAAAATAACATGAACAAACTAACCTCTCGAGATTTTCCAAATGTACAAACTGTAAAATTTTATTCTTTAATTAAGTTATTCTTAATTAGCCTCTTGAATGTCACTGATGTCTGCTTTATGAGAAGATCCCTTATTTTCTGCCTTTGCCTATAAAATTTCTCACTCAAACCATGTGCTTCTATGTGCTGAGGCCTTTTGATTGCATGTTGAAAATAAGAAGAAAATGATTATACTTATGTACCCATGAAAAACACTGTTACAAGGAGCCAACGTGACTCCTTCCGTTGTTTTAGCTTGCCCACTCTCACCAGAAGATGGGAGTATAGACCGTCTCTCCCACATGCAGGAAATGATGGCCAACCAGAACAAAATCAGAGGTGTTTCGCGAAACTGGGATATCAGATTGAGTTGGGATATTCCAGCTATCCTGACTTAATTAAGCCTCGATTCATACAATCACATCTACAGTTAAAGCCCCAAAATTCATTGTAAATATGTGGCAAGACTTGAAAATGAATGTTCACAGACTATATGTGTCCCATCTGAATGACTCTGAGTTATTTTGTGAAAACTGGCAAAGGTTTTAGTCTCTGTATGATGTGAAGACATACCCCAAAATAATTAAGTTGTCCCATAAAAGCAGGTATGCTCCTACTCATCTGGTTAAAAGATAAGAGTTATCTTAAAAGAGTTAGAGGGTTGACACTTGCACGTCTTTAAATGTCAGAATCAAAATCAACCACATTCTGGGCTATATAATTTATTAAAATCAACCACCAGACAAGAACACCATCAAATACAGACCAATGATAATTACAGAATGAACTCAGAGGTATAAACATGCTCAAAATCTAAAAATATCATATCTTAACACATAGATTTCACATGAAATGAATTACGATGAAAATTTCTAAATATCAATAGCAACAGAAATGATTGGACAAAGTCATAGCTTCAAGATTACTCAGGAGATTTTTTTTGACTAAGTATTTAACCAATTTTCCATTTATTTTTGCTAACTAACATTTATTTAGTCTGTAGCAACTTACAAACTTGTATCATACTACATGCATTAGATTAGTTTAGGATAACCATAAAATAGGAGATTGAGGAAGGGTCACAAACATGAATTTCAGTAATTAGTAACAGAAACTGTGACACTGTCACTTAGTGGGGAGGTGAAAGTTTTATTTTCCACAAGTTTTTCATAATAACAGCGGTAATCTCCATCATGATTATTGTTGGCTTCAAGAAATCTGAATGTAGAGAAGTTGGTACTTGATTGTTGGGTCTTAGTGAACGATCCAGACGTCTTCTGCAGGGTGAATGAGCCGCCAAGATATTGAGTCCAGACAGAACAATTGATGGCAATGAGGTCACCAAAGGTAACCAAGCCTGCAGGGTCCATGTTGATGCCTGGTTTTGGAAGAATCACTAAAAATATAATGACAATGTTAATTATGTCATTTTTGAACTATTTGATTAAATTGATTTTATACCTGTAATTATCTGTTACATTCAGATTGATATAAATGCCTGAATATGTGACTATTTCAAAGAATTTCAAAGAGCAGAGCTAGAATCTGTTCTTTCAAATCTTCTTGTAAGATCCATCGTGCGCAAAGTTGACTTGCTGAATGAGTTTGTTTCCCTGTTATAATCCTTTCAAACATATAGTAAGCTCAGTGAAACTGGAAAATAAAAACACACCTGTTGTAAAGAGTGGGACATCACTGCTGAAGTTAGAGAGGAAGTCTACATTTGAAAACCTCACTTCAAACTGACACTTGTAGTCTCCCTGATCCGCAAAGGTAACTTTAGGGATATTTAGACTAGCCGAGTTGCTGCTTGAGTTCACAGTCTGGGTGAAAGGACCTGGGGTCTTTGTGAAGATGAATGATCCTACTGCTTCCACCCCAGTGATTGAACAAGTAATGTAGACATCCTGGCCCCACATAAACACACCAATGGGATGGATGGTGATGTTGGGCTTTGGTAGTCTTACTGAAAAATAACAGAATATCTAATTAGAAAGATGTAAAAGAGGACCAAAGGGCAGACTGGAGACTCACAAGGACATAAATCATTGATTAACAGAGGCAGAAAGGTAGCAGCAGAGCAAAAATAATGCTGCATGGTGATGATGGATGATCGAGGAAACAAGGAATGGCAATGGAGTAAAACAGAATGACACAAAGCTTAAATGTACTAAGTGGGGAGTGGAGATGACAAAAGAATTACAGGAGAGGGAATGCAATTGTGGACAAATGACTTAAATATACTCAGTGAAAGTGAAAAACAAGCTAAAACATAAGAAGAAGAAATTACCAGTTAGCTGGACAGAATCACTCAAGTTGGTGCTCAAATCGTGATTAAAAGACCTTCTTTGAAATTGACACTGGTACAATCCATGGTCCACCAAGCCAACTTGACTGATGTGGAATGAAGTTGAGCTGCTGCTTGAATTTACAACATGAATGATTGGTCCTGATGTCTTCTTGAAGATAAATGATCCTCCAACTTGACCCTCAGAGACTGAGCAAGTGATGTTGACAGTCTGGCCAATAGAAACCACACCAGCAGGATCCAAAGTGATGCTGGGCTTTGGAAGAAATACTGAAAAAGTACAACAAAGAAAAGCTTTACTGCCCAAAGACTTTTGACATAATTCAAATTTAGAGATCTCATTACAAGTGGCAAATGTAAATTAAAACATAATTACCAGTTAGTTGGACTGGGTCACTGAAGCTGGTGTTGAAGTCTTGATCAGAAATTCTCCTTTGAAACCGACATTGGTATAATCCCTCATCTCTCAAGTTAGCTGGAGTGATATGGAAGGTAACCGTGTTGCTACTCGAGCTTACAGTGTGGATGAAATTATCAGGAGTTCTCCTAAACACAAATAATCCTCCTGGCCGTCCCTCGATGACTGAACAGGTGAGGGTGGCATGCTGACCCCACATCACCCCACCAGCAGAATCCAAGGTGATGGTCGGCTGTGAAAGGTTCACTAAAAAGCAACAAAAATATCATGTCTTTTCTATGTTTAATCAAATGGACAAAGCCATTAAAAATAATTACCAGTGAGCCAGACAGCGTCACTAAAGTTGGTGTGAAACACTTCACCAGAGACCGTTCTTTGAAACCGACACTGGTACAATCCCTCATTTCCCAAACGGACTTGCGCAATATAGTAAGTAGCCGAGTTGCTGTTTGAGTTTACAGTCTGAATGACGAAACCAGGAAGGTTTGTGAATGTAAATGATCCACTCAATCCATCCATAACATCACATACGATGTTGACACTCTGACTCCAGGAAACAAGACCGGCAGGCTGCAAGGTGATGTTGGGTTTTGGAATTTCACCTGAAAAATGGTGCAAAGATTGATCACCTGTTATAATCCTTTCAACACTATAGTAAACTCAGTTAACCTGCAAAATAAACAGGTTAACTGGTTAAGTAACTTTTAAGTTTTTTCTTTAAAGTTACTTAAAGTGCTTTATTTTCTACACCTTTTATGTAGAGTGGGACATCACTGCTGAAGGTAGTGCTGAAGTCTTCATTAGAAATCCTCACTTTAAACTGACACTTGAAGTCTCCCTCATCCGTAAAGGTAACTTTAGGGATACTTAGAGTAGCAGAATTACTGCTTGAGGCCACAGTCTCACTGAAACTTCCTGAAGACTTCCTGAAGATAAATGATCCTCCTCCTTGTTCATTAGTGACTGAACAAACCATTCTGACATCCTGATGGAGATTAATCACTCCAGAGGGTTCAATACTGATCCTGGGTGCTGGAAAGATCACTAAAGAAATGACACAGTTGTTATTGTCGTGGCACATTTATTTAGAGTATTAAGAGTAAATTAATACAAAAAAATATAATACCTCTGAGTTGGACGGTGTCACTGAAGAGAGTGGTGAAGTTTTCATTAGGAAATATGATTTGAAGCTGACACTTGTACCATCCCTGATCATTGAAAGTGGCCTGAAGGATATAGAAAGTAGCAGAGCTGCTGCTTGAGTTCACGGCCTGCCTGAATGAGCCTGTGGTCGTCGTCAAGACAAATATCCCTCCTACTAGAGGACCATTGACTGAACAACTGATGCTGACATTATGACCCAAGGTGATGTCACCTTGAGGAGTAAGTCCAATAGTGGGCCTTATAGGACCTGTCAAAAAACAATATATAGTGTCAGAGTCACATTGTGTCACCATAGTGTTATGGTGACACTTTATGAAATACATAAAATGAGTACTTTATGAAATATATTTAATAAATTACTACCAGGCTTCAGATTTGACATAATTTCTGTACAATGACAACACAGATTCTATTTTCTTCTATTTATTACAGCACTTTCATACAGTCTCTAGTAAACAAAAGGCTTGTGATTGGCTTATTACACAATGGAGGCACACAATGCACTGTTTCTGGATGTAATAGAAAACATTAATGTTACATTAAGTTTTTCATTTAAAGTTACTTTAATTTAATCAACATTTGAATTAATAAAATAATGAAGAGTAGAACTTTTTCCTAATTCTCCCAATGAGGATTTAAATTACATTCAACTACTATAAGTTTTTACGAATACATTTAGTAGGAAACCTACATTACCTGAACAGATGACACCAGCATCCTGACTGTGAGCACAGTTATGCACACCAAATCCACTGTGAGAGCAGTCAGACAGATATGTTTCACTGCCTTCACAGGCCACCTCATCAAGCCAGATTTGTCCTGTTCCCACTGCAAACTGATGGACACTCACTGCTGTACCACAACCCAGCTGTCTACAGACCACTCTACCATCATTTATGTCCCAGTTATCATTGCAGATTGTTCCCCAGGACCCACTGTTGTAGATTTCGACTCTTCCAGAGCACCGAGCTGACCCAACTAATTTTATGTTGCCGCCTAAAAACAAAATCGAGTGGTTATAAGATTATAACCACTCAAACTGTATGACACACATCATGTCCTACCCACATGTTAGTAGGTAGGACAGATTGGGCAGTATTTGGTGGCACAGCAAAGTAGAAAAGGTAACAATTGTACCAAGTTTGAATTATGGAAACAATTAAATAAATTGAATTTAAAAAAAAAACTATGAATGTAAAAGACACAATCTTACTTGAACAATTAACACCAGCATCTTCATGGTGTCCACAATTGTGAGTCCCAAATCCACTGTGCCCACACACGGCAAGAGAAGTTTCACTTCCTGAGCAGCCCAGATCATCGAGCCAGATTTGTCCAGTCCCCTGGCCAAAGCGGGCTGAGTGTGGAGCATCCACAGCAGGACCACAGCTGAGCTGTCTGCAGGTCACCTTAGCATCATTTATGTCCCAGTTATCATCACAGACTGTTCCCCAGGTACCATTGTAGTAGATTTCAACTCTTCCAGAACATTGCTCGTTAGATCCAGATAGTCTGATTGAATCTGTAAGTTTTCATAAAATATTGGAATAGAATAGAATAGACTTTATTGATCCCCAGGGGAAATTGCTTATTTGCTGAAAGTCACTCCATCTTAAGTAATAAATACAAAGTTTGTAAAAAAATATATACGTAAGAGTGAAAAGTTCATAATGACTACATATAAACAAATAAATAAATAACAAGCAATCACATGCAATATTAATCAATACATATCCTATAAATGAGCGCAGAAAAAAAATGAAACAATTAGCCCAGACTTGGGCATTGTAAAGCCTGATGGCAACAGGCAGATATGACTTTCTTTGGCGCTCTGTCGTGCACTTTGGCAATATTAGTCTCTGGCCGAAGGTGCTCCTGTATCCGGCCAGCACTTCATGGAGTAGATGAGACTCGTTGTCCAAGATGGCCTGCATCTTGGACAAATATGCAGGCATCTTGGACAAGATCCTTCTTTCTGACACCACTGTCAGAGGTTCCAGCTCCACTCCAACGACGTTACTGGCTTTCCAAGCAAATGTATTCAATAAAGTAGACAATATGCAAACATCTGCTGTGGGTGTACCTCAAACAAATGCTTGCTGACAAAAGCATGTTTCATTCTTTTTTTTTCTTTTCTACATTTCCTCTTTTATTTTTAGTCATGAAACTGTATGGACCTGTTTGTGGCCACATGGACTTTATTCCTGATCAAATTAAAATCTGTCCAAAATTATTACTCTTTTTTAAAATATCAAAGTATTTGATTATGAAAACAATTAAATAAATTATATCAGGAAACTATGAACGTAAAGAACATAATCTTACTTGAACAGATAACACCAGCATCTTCAGAATGTCCACAATTATGAGTCCCAAATCCATTGTGCCCACACACGGCAAGAGAAGGCTCATTTCCAGAGCAGGCCAGATCATCAAGCCAGATTTGTCCAGTTCCTTGCCCAAACTGGGATGATTGTGAAGTAATCTCCAGAGCAGGACCACAGCCGAGCTGTCTGCAGGCCACCTCAGCATCATTTAGGTCCCAACTATCATCACAGACTGTTCCCCAGGCACTATTGTGGTAAATTTCAACTCTTCCAGAACATGCCTCATTTGATCCAGATAGTCTGATTGAATGATCTGCAACTTTTTTCAACATGGAAAAACAAAAGTATTCAACAAAGAAAATATGCAAATGTCTGCTGTGGGTGAACTTCAGTCTGACTGACAAAAATCTTAGATCTTTTTTTTTTTTTTTTTTTTTTACTGAACTCTATGGATCTGTTTGTAGCCACACAGGCTTTATTCCTAATCAAATAAGAATCTGTCCAAAAGTATTACTCTTTTTTCAAATATAAAAATTTTTGATAATGGAAACAATTGAACAAATTATATAAAATGAATGTAAGGGACACAATCTCACTTGAACAGATGACACCAGCATCTTCACCGTGTCCACAATTATGAGTCCCAAATCCACTGTGCCCACACACGGCAAGAGAAGGTTCATTTCCAGAGCAGGTCAGATCATCAAGCCAGATTTGTCCAGTCCCCTGGCCAAAGTAGGCTGATTGTGGAGCACCCTCAGCAGAACCACAGCCGAGCTGTCTGCAGGCCACCTCAGCATCGTTTAGCTCCCAACCATCATCACAGACTGTTCCCCAGACACTATTGTGGTAAATTTCAACTCTTCCAGAACATTGCTCGTTTGATCCAGATAGTCTGATCAGATTACCTAAAAAGAAAGAACTCAAAGCTTGATTTAATATGAACAACCACAGAAATTGTACAACTTGTGACAAGTGAACCAACCTGATGCAGAATATGAAGACAGGAAACAAGAGACTACATTAGAAGAAATAAGCAAAAATTATCCATTCAGTGTGGTTAATTCCATACTTGACAAATAAATAATCAGAGGACAAAATTTGATGAGGGATTGAACAAAAATAAATTCTGTTTAAAATAATTTTTTGCCATTTCTAATTTACTTCAACCTAACAAGATTATGAACAATTATTTTGTCATTTTCATAACCTTCAATTTTCCAACTTTAGTGTTAAACCACATCTGCATGAATAACCAATAATGTATGTAGTATCGCTGTACAAATTTGTAACATGAATCATAAACAAATCATTTATTTTTCTCACCTAAAAGCAGCAGATTGTTCACCATCCTGTTGACTGAGCATATGAAGAAAAGATTATATTGAGGTACAGCGAAGCACAGTCCGTGCTCAAATTAGTTTCATCTGAACTTGTTGTCAGGTATCCTGTAACAACCTCTAAAGCTCTTCTGCATATTATAGTTAGATCTACAAAGAGTAAGATTCAGGGAAATAAGATGTAATAAGGTGTGTTGAACCTTTATCTGTGTGGTTTATATGAGTTTTACAGCCTAAAAATTTGCCTATAAGCAAAACATCAGCAAAGCAAGATACAAATATGAAACTGCCTTTGGCTGAATAGGTGTATTCATTTTTAGTACTTTCCATAATCTGCAAAGTTATATTATGGGTGTGAGATTGTGATGTGTACTAAATGTAAAAAAAGAAAAAGAACCTTACAAAGAATAATTCATGTTGAAAGGGATTCATTTGACTATTAGGGTATTTCAGTCATCTGCTGCAGGAACCAAGTCAGAGAAGTTTGACTTTCTTAATATTCCAAATTAACAACTGAGATATGTGTAGTATGTTTACCAAACTTGTCTAATGGAGGAAGATCCTTTTCTGCACTTCAGCCCATATTTTAAATAACACCTCAGCTCAGTTAAAGTGGTCTTCATGTTTACATGCACTTAAATAAAAACCTGAAAATTCAGAATACGTTTCTATTCAGACCTTTGTAGTCAATACTTTTTTTGTATGGAGGTCATAACTGAATTTTTTTACCTCTAGTATGCACTTCCATCAATGCATAATCATGTGTTAGAAGACTCCTGTCAAACTCAAGACCTGAATTTGATTGTGAATTTGTGGCAAGACTTTAAAATGAAAGTTTAGACATCCATCTCCAAACTAAGTGAACTTGAATTATTTTGTAAATTGGAATAGACAAAAATTTCAGTATCTAGGTGTCTGATACAGAGACAAAGCCCAAAATACACAGGATATCCCATAAAGCCCAGTATGCTTGTTTTTGCAGTACAATGTACATCCTTACTCATCAAGTTTTACAGACTACTTTGGTTGTTAAATGATCATCAATAGAAGAAAAGTTACAAAATGTTTTATTACTCACAAATGTTTAAATACCAGTGACAAAATCTACCGAAATCTGGGATACAACATTTATTAAATTCACCCACAGACAAGTCAAGAACACCATCAAATACAAAACAATGAAAAAACAGTATGAGGACAGAAATATAAATAGACTGAAAATCTAAAAATAAAACAATCACCTTTTTCCCACAGAAGATTTCACATTACATTTGTGAAGAAAAAGGTCCAAGAAGCAAAAACCCTCAAGAAACCCTCAAGTTTACTCAACTGACTTCAAGAACTTTTTCATTTTAATTTTCAGTACACACAGTAGCCTATCTACATCGATAGAAAAATGACACTCAAACTTTTTGGGGGCTAAGCAGTAGCTCAGTAAGGGACAATTTGTTTAAATCTAGTTGTGTGGAGTATCTGGTAAAGCAGTTTTGCAGCGTGAACCTTGACCTCAACCGAGGTTCTTACCCCACTGAGGTTTAAGTGTGGAATATTTTATGTACTGTTACATCTCAACAATTTTATAAAAAATACATTTTCACTCTTGTTTACTTGCTGAATATGTTTAGCAACTACTAACTCAACCATGATTTAATTGGTTGATAACATAGTGACAACTTGATAGCATAGTGACAACTTACACACTCATCATTTGATTAGATTAGTTTAGGATAGTCGTATGTGAGGAGATTGAGGAAGGGTCAGGAACATGAACTTCAGTTATTAGTAACAGAAACTGTGACATTGTCACTTAGTGGGAAGGTGAAAGTTTTATTTTCCACAAGTATTTCATAATAACAGTGGTAATCTCCATCATGATTGTTATTGGCTTCAAGAAATCTGAATGTAGAGAAATTGGTACTTGATTGTTGGGTCTTAGTGAATGATCCAGACGTCTTCTGCAGGGTGAATGAGCCGCCACAATATTGAGTCGAGACAGAACAATTGATGGCAATGAGGTCACCAAAGGTAACCAACCCTGCAGGGTCCATGTTGATGCCTGGTTTTGGAAGAATCACTAAAAATATAATGACAATGTTAATTATGTCATTTTAAACTATTTGATTAAATTAATTTCACAAACACTTACTTGTCACGTTCAGGTTGACATTATCACTAAAAACAGAGCCAGAATCTGTTCTTTGAAACTGACACTTGTAGTCTCCCTGATCCGCAAAGGTAACTTTAGGGATATTTAGACTAGCCGAGTTGCTGCTTGAGTTCACAGTCTGGGTGAAAGGACCTGGGGTCTTTGTGAAGATGAATGATCCTACTGCTTCCACCCCAGTGATTGAACAAGTAATGTGGACATCCTGGCCCCACATAACCACACCAATAGGCTGGATGGTGATGTTGGGCTTTGGTAGTCTCACTGAAAAATAACACAATGTCAAATTATAAAGATGTAAAAGAGGACCAAAGGGCAGACTGGAGACTCACATGGATATAAATTATTGATTGACAGAGGCAGAATGGTAGCAGCAGAGCAAAAATAATGCTGTATGGTGATGTTGGATGATCGAGGAAACAAGGAATGGCAATGGAAAGACAGTGGAGAAACAAAAACTTAAATACACTCACTGAAAGTGAAAAACAGTCTACAAACTTAAAAGAAAAAAATTACCAGTTAGCTGGACAGAATCACTCAAGTTGGTGCTCAAATCGTGATTAAAAGACCTTCTTTGAAATTGACACTGGTACAATCCATGGTCCACCAAGCCAACTTGACTGATGTGGAATGAAGTTGAGCTGCTGCTTGAATTTACAACATGAATGATTGGTCCTGATGTCTTCTTGAAGATAAATGATCCTCCAACTTGACCCTCAGAGACTGAGCAAGTGATGTTGACAGTCTGGCCAATAGAAACCACACCAGCAGGATCCAAAGTGATGCTGGGCTTTGGAAGAAATACTGAAAAAGTACAACAAAGAAAAGCTTTACTGCCCAAAGACTGTTGACATAATTCACAGTAAAATTTAGAGATCTCATTAGAAGTGGCAAATGTAAATTAAAACATAATTACCAGTTAGTTGGACTGGGTCACTGAAGCTGGTGTTGAAGTCTTGATCAGAAATTCTCCTTTGAAACCGACATTGGTATAATCCTTCATCTCTCAAGTTAGCTGGAGTGATATGGAAGGTAACCGTGTTGCTACTCGAGCTTACAGTGTGGATGAAATTATCAGGTGTTCTCCTAAAGACAAATAATCCTCCTGGCCATCCCTCAATGACTGAACAGGTGAGGGTGGCATGCTGACCCCACATCACCCCACCAGCAGAATCCAAGGTGATGATCGGCTGTGAAAGGTTCACTAAAAAACAACAAAAATATCATGTCTTTTCTATGTTTAATCAAATGCACAAAGCAATTAAAAATAATTACCAGTGAGCCAGACAGCGTCACTAAAGTTGGTGTGAAACACTTCACCAGAGACCGTTCTTTGAAACCGACACTGGTACAATCCCTCATTTCCCAAACGGACTTGCGCAATATAGTAAGTAGCCGAGTTGCTGTTTGAGTTTACAGTCTGAATGACGGAGCCAGGAAGGTTTGTGAATGTAAATGATCCACTCAATCCATCCATAACATCACATACGATGTTGACACTCTGACTCCAGGAAACAAGACCGGCAGGCTGCAGGGTGATGTTGGGTTTTGGAATTTCACCTGAAAAATGGTGCACAGATTGATCACCTGATATAATTCTTTCAACACTATAGTAAACTCAGTTAACCTGCAAAATAAACATGAAAACACACCTTTTATGTAGAGTGGGACATCACTGCTGAAGGTAGTGCTGAAGTCTTCATTAGAAATCCTCACTTTAAACTGACACTTGAAGTCTCCCTCATCCGTAAAGGTAACTTTAGGGATACTTAGAGTAGCAGAATTACTGCTTGAGTCCACAGTCTCACTGAAACTTCCTGAAGACTTCCTGAAGATAAATGATCCTCCTCCTTGTTCATTAGTGACTGAACAAACCATTCTGACATCCTGATGGAGATTAATCACTCCAGAGGGTTCAATACTGATCCTGGGTGCTGGAAAGATCACTAAAGAAATGACACAGTTGTTATTTTCTTGGCACATTTATTTGAAGTAAATGAATGCAAAAAAATACCTCTGAGTTGGACTGTGTCACTGAAGAGAGTGGTGAAGTTTTCATTAGGAAATATGATTTGAAGCTGACACTTGTACCATCCCTGATCATTGAAAGTGGCCTGAAGGATATAGAAAGTAGCAGAGCTGCTGCTTGAATTCACGGCCTGCCTGAATGAGCCTGTGGTCTTCGTCAAGACAAATATCCCTCCTACTTGAGCACCATTGACTGAACAACTGATGCTGACATTATGACCCAAGGTGATGTCACCTTGAGGAGTAAGTCCAATAATGGGCCTCATAGGACCTGTCAAAAAACACAATACATAGTGTCAGAGTCACTATAGAGACTATAGTGTTATGGTGACACTTTATGAAATACATGTCACCATAACATAGTAAATACGTTTCATGAAATACTGCCAAGCTTCAGATTTTGCATCATTTCTGTACAATAGCAACACAAATTCTATTTTCTTCTATTTATTTCAGAACTTTCATTTTTTTTTTTTTTTTTGTCAACAATAGGCTTGTGGTTAAGTTATTACACAATGGATGCCCACAATGCACTGTTTCTGGATGGTATATATACAATATTACATTAAGGTTTTTCTTTAAAATTACTTAAAGTGCTTTATTTTTTTCCAAAAATATTACATATATCTTTTTAAATGAGTCCCAGAGTTATGGAGAAATACTGTCAATGTGTAATTTATTGTTACTTCCAGCGGTAGGGATTTTTGGAGGGTTGCAAAACAACATTTGAACTCATAAAATAATGACTACAGTAGAACGTTTTCCAGTGAGGATTTAAATGAGATTAAACTACTGTAAGTTTTTTCCCAACACGTTTAGTAGAAAACCTACATTACCTGAACAGATGACACCAGCATCCTGACTGTGATTACAGTTCTGAGCTCCAACTCTACTGTACGAACACTCAGGCAGATATCTTTCGCTCCCTGTGCAAGTCACTTCAGTAATTTCTCCTACTCCCTCTCCAAAGTGAAGGACACTCAGAGGTGTACCACATCCCAGCTGTCTGCAAATCACTCGAGCTTCGTTTATGTCCCAGCTGTTATTGCAGACGGTTCCCCAGGATCCGTTGTTGAAGATTTCGACTCTTCCAGAGCATCTGCTTGGCCCGATTAACCTGCTCAGGCCGGCTATGAAAGCATGAGGCACGATTAATAGGCGAATGCTGAATGGGAACAACAGCACGTACTAACACATACAGAAGCAATTTGACTGATTCTTTTGTTTAATAGCATTGTTCTGAAATTTGCTTTACCAAGATGATGCAAATTAACAGATTTAAGAGAAATTCTGAGATAAAGGGCCTCAAGATGACTGAAGAGTAATCAAAAGTTGCTTAAACTGAGTATTAGTTTCATAAATATGCTCTCTAGTCAAAACAAATAGCCAAATTTTGCTTGTCACAGTCGAACATCTGAACAGGAAGCTGGCCTCTGTGTTTGTGAAAAACCGGTGCATTCCCAAATATTTGCATATCTTCAATATTCATCCCACATGCTATTTAAAATAGGGACCAAGAGAGTTTTTGAAAGAAAAATATTTGGCAAACTGTATAGATGAGCAGTTTAAAAGATGGACACCAGTTTGTTACAAAACAAATATGTATGAGAGTACACAACGCTGACAAACAAGAACTTTGTATTAGAAAGACGAGCCAGGGAACAAAGCTGTTCCACTAGAATTCATGTTTACATGTTGGTTTTGAACTGAAACTGCATTTAGAGAGCAGTGACGAACATTTTCTCACCTGAGCAGATCACACCAGCATCCTGACTATGACTGCAGTTTTGTACCCAGTGTCCTCTGTGTGAGCACCGAGTCAGATGGGTTTCGCTCCCCGTACAGGCCACATCGTCAAGCAGGATTTTATCTGCTCCTTTTCCGAAGTACGCCGCGTGAGGAGCAGCCACGGCTACGCCACAGTTCAACTGACTGCAGACCACCTGAGCGTCATTCAAGTCCCAGCCGTCGTCACACACTGTTTGCCAGGCACCGTTGTGGAAGATTTCAACTCGTCCGGCGCACCGAGACGGCCCAGTTAGACGCACCGGATAATCTATCATGAGATGAGGGGCAAAGTGTGAACAGGAACAATTTTCACAGATTAATAGTCATAGATTGTAACTATGAATCATTATGTATACAATATACATGTATTATTCCTTAGAACAAACAAAAGATGTACAGATGAAGCCAGAAGTTTACAGTGTATAAAATGATACAAGACTGTGAACAAATTACAAAAACGTTTCCAGATTTGGGTCAGTTAAGATTGCCAAAATTATTTTGCTTTTCTAAATTTTTATTTACTTATTTATTATTAATGCGATTTAAGCACAAAAGTGCTTGTGTGCTCGTGTGTTAAATTAGGAAAGTATTAAAATTCTTAAAAATAATTCTGACTATAGTCGTATTCATAAAATAGGAGTCATGGTGTTCATCCTAACCATGACTCCTACTTAGAGTCTGAAAAAAACAGAGTTCTGTATTTTATCCACCATATGTACATATCTGGGTTTCAACTGTTGTATAATAATCATGAAGAAATTAATAATAAAGTATGGAAAGTACAAAGAAACTGAGTCATACCTGAACAGTGGACATAAGTGTAGTAACCATATAGGTATGTCCAAGAATTACTGTGCTGACATTCTTGTAGAGAAAATTCACTTCCTGAACAGCTCAAATCAGGCAGCACGACGCTGCTTGCATAGTAGCCTGAGTGAGAGATTAATGGACCACAGCCCATCTGTCTGCAGGCCACAGTAGCAGCATTCATGTCAAAGCCGGTATAACTGAGCAGTTTCCACATCCGATCGTGGTATATATGGACATATCCAGAGCATGATTGAAATGGTAAGATCTGTTGAGCTATAAGAAGAAAACAAAAAAGAACTAAGCACATGCCGTTTTAGTGACTTGACAGCAGCACAGATGGACGTGGCTGTTTAAGAAGGACACTTCTGAATAACTGCAGCTAATCTCACATCCATCACTATGACAGGACTGAACTGACTTTATCAGAAATCCTGAGTGCTGTGTGTTACCTAAACATTGGGTTTCTATGTACACTTACAGTAGCAAGTGACGCCTGCATCCTCGCTATGCTCACAGTTGTGGGTTCCAAATCCTCTGTGGCTGCATTCAGAAAGAGAATCTTCGCTTCCTGAACAGCTGACATCATCCAGCCAGATTTTTCCTGCGCCTTCCCCAAAGTGAGCAGATGCATGAACTGTTAAAGGTGGACCACAGTCTAACTGTCTGCAGACGACATTAGCATCATTATAATCCCAGCCGTCGTCACAGACTGTTCCCCATTCTCCATTGTGGTAGATTTCAACTCTTCCAGCGCAATACCCGTCTGAACTCGAACCAACCAATCTGACAGCGTTGCCTGAAACAAAATAAACAATAAATAATCATTTTTAAAAATAAGTATTTTACAAACAGCATCAACAAAAGTGGGAGATATGGACTGACCTGCAGCAGCTGAAGATAAGCACAGAAGAAGAGAAACTGTAGTAGAGAGAGAGAGAGAAAGAAAGAAAACATTTGGTCATGTGAGAACAAAGTTATAAAACACCAGAAAACCTTTGAAAACATACAAAAAAATCTTATATTTGACAAAGAGTCAAATAAATCCAGAGCATGTACTGGCCATGTGTTTGGTTTTTCTTATCTGACAAGTTCCTCGCATGTCAGCATCTTTCAAGATACACAATGACTGCTCTTCAACATATTGCCATAATAAAATCACTAAATATCCAATAAATTTTGTTGCACCTCATGATTGCGTCCCACTTGCTGTTGATTCTTCACAAAATAATACAAATTTTTAGAGCTTTATGTTTGAAGCCTGAAAAGTGGCAAAAGGTGGAAAAGTTCAAGGCACTGTATGTATTCATTCCAGATATTATTAAAATTCTATTCAAACCACAATTTATTGTGGTTTGAATAGAATTATTCAAACCACAATTTGAATTTACTCAAACCACAATTTATTGCTCATTATGTCTACTGTTACTATCTAAAGTCCAATCTTTGCAGTGAAATATTTGGTCCAACTACACAGCAAAAGCAAAAAAATCTTACCAACTGTTTTTGGTCTAGTGTCTACTGCATCTGAGTGCACTTGAAACTAAAGCTTGTTTTAAGTCAAAAATTGCTTAATATTGATCAAAAGTATTATTTTACTCATTACGTGTTTTCCACAAATGAAACAATCTGCCAGTAGAACTTTGACCTTTTTACCAATAAACTCCACTGTCTTGCTGAAAAACTCATTATAAGTTACTTTTGTGTTATTTCAGAAAAATACATTCATTTGTTGATTCTAAAATGTTCAAATATTGAACATTTTAAAAATAAATTATTATAAATTAAATATTTTACTCACCTGATATCAGTCCCAATAACAGATCTAACATGTTTGCAGCCTGACAATCTGGTCACTCATCAATGGCCCAATGCAAAACACTACAGGTCAGAACAGCAGACGGTACCATTTATGGTTGCCCACTTTTTTTTTCTGGTTAGTATTTACACAAAGAATTTCATACTTGTATGAAACCTGAGCCACATACATACTTCCTTGTATTCAAAAGAAGCTCTATTTTTCCTCTTTCTTTTTAACCGCAAATGTGTTTACAGCAAACACAGATCTGCTACTGGTTGTGTCGCTGGCTGGAGATCTCATCTGTCCCTCGTATATCAAAATGAGAATTTAATCAAACAGGTATCGTTTTATTGTTCAGATTTTTATCTTTTAGGAAAAACATTTCATTGTTAATCAGAGCACAGACAGTGAGCCACAAGCATACAGTCCAACACTTTCTATGTCTTTATAATTGCTCACTCAATGTGTTACTGATACAAACTATAGTACATGATAACTTTGTTTTCCTCGTATGGCAAACTGTTGAAAACCTGGCTAGTATTTCTTGGAAACCACTTGGGAAGTGTAAGAAGGGAAAAACATATCAGACTCTATTGATTCAATTTGAAAAGGAAGAAAGCAAACCTTTCAACCAATCATGCTTTTTTTTTTTTTGGTCTTCATGTTCATCAGTAAATCTAAACAAAAAACATTGAAGTATTTAAATATATTGTTGCTGCAATGTGAAAGATGTGAAATAGAGCCGCTTGATCTCGGTGTTATGGGTGTTTAAATCTACAAAGTCTGTAAACATTTTTTTGGGCTAACAGGTAAAAACTAAACTGATCCACAGCCAAATAATCGTCTGGGGTTTTCCAGCTGTTTTCTGGTTATTTTGATGTGCTAAATCTAAAAAAATCATATTGGTTTTGCTCAATTAGGGCAACTTTCTGATCTAAGCCACATATTAGTTTGGGATGCTGGGACACAATCAGGATCATCGATTAATCAGAGGCTGTTTCTAACACGATGCATTAATGTAGAAAACCCAAATGGAAATGTTCCAACTCGTTTAAAACAAGGAAATAAACAGGTTGAGCTTCAAAACACACAGAAAGGCACTCACTGATGTGCTACAAATGACAAATTAGCATTCATAAGATTAAAACAAAAAAAACACCAATGAATTATTCAGGTAAAATGTAACAAAGATTTTATTCAACAAAATTGATGTTATAATATGTTCAATTGTTTGACTTTACAATGGAAAAAAATGTACCGGCTGATGGAAAGTAACATTTAAAAGTCAACTTTATTTGCACATAAACAAAATACAACATTTTGTTAAAACCAACTAGAATCTGACTGTAAAACTTTTAAGAGACGTCTTTCTACAGCTAAACTGTTTTATAGGCATTTGAGTGTTTATTGTTCTACTTACAAATAGTTCTGCCTGCGTAAAAACAACAATAAAATGTATTCTGAACACTCAAGGAATAAATGAAAGCTTTTAGGTTTCAAGGTCGTCCTGCCTGCATGCTCTTCTGAACTAGTCCGGTAGGATCGCAGTAGCGACTTTACTGTAGGGTCCGTAGCGACCAAATATGTCTTTGCCCACCACAACGGCACACAGCTTGTGCCCACGCTTGAACTTATTGATCAGAGCGCACATGGGCAGAGACTTGGCCTGCAGTTTATCGTAAGTATCCCACTTGAGGAAGACGCCGTTCCCTTTAGAGGTCTCCATCGCCAGCAGGATGCTGCAGCAGGCAGAGAGAGGAAACGTGCCGCGTTAAAACTCTTCTCCTTCACAACACTTTCAATTTATTTGAATAACTCCTCACAACAGGGTCGTGCTTGTCAGTGCCGTCTCTTACGTGTAGCTTTCCATCGGTGGAAAATCGGGGTCGTCGTCCTCCACGTTCCAGAGGACGGAGACTCGAGTCGGATTCCTGATGAAGGCCAGATTTACGTCAACTCTCGGAGGCATCTTGTACGAAGCTGCTTCCTTATTCAGGACGGCTGGGAAGGGGATGTGGGGAAGAGGCGGACAGACAAGCATCTCCTATTGGGAGGGGGAGGTAAAGAGACGTGATGAGAGTTGCAAAAAGTTCTTTGTCTTCCATCTGTGGAGCATCTGAAATACCTCCGCATTGTTCATCGACTCCATGCTTTCCAAATCATTGGGCGCAGGACTGCTGCTGTGGCGAGGAGAGGAAGCTTCTTGTTTTAACCGTTTTGCCACGGGCTCATCGTCATGGCCTCGATTTCCATTGTCGCGGTCCTTGTTGCAGGAATCTGTTGCCTCTGTTTTTATACTGCCGATTTTCTGAATTTGACAAACCAAAAGGGGAAAAAGAACAACAAAAACAAAATAAAACCTGATGGAAAATGTGTGGTTGATTTCTCAGTTGTATTAACATTTACAGTGTCAGAAAAATGCTTACAATTAAGTATTAAAGTGATACTGACACAAACATGTAAAAAAAAAAATTTTTTTTTCCTTTTTTAAAGAAAACCAGAAAAGAATTCAGTGTGCAGATTTCAATTTATTAACCCATATGGGCAGAATTATCCATACACAGTAACATATAAACAGATCTACACATTTGTATGGCTGCTGCCAAACACAGATAAGCTTACAGCAAATTTACGTTGACCATGCGGCGACTCTTTGGGGCTCAATGCTGCAACACTAACTGTACCCAGGTTTTCATTACGTGACCCAAAATGCTACCCTTCAGTGAAAGCAAATTGTTCAGGATGTTGAAAAAGTGATCGAGAAATACCTCTTCAAAATCGACATTTTCAAACTTGGAATAGTCCACATGGGCAAGTATCGTTACCTGTTTTAATGTAAAAAAAACGCAAAGATACACTGCTTTGTATGACCTGAACAGCTACAACTGTTTTTTGCCGTTGTAGCTGGATTTGCATTATGTTCCTTGTATTTTCAAAATTAAATCATCCCCATTTATTTTTTTTACCCATTTACATGCGCTCTCTCGTTGTTCTGCAAAATCATTGAAGTTGAACCAACAGGATGAGAACAATAGCGATGGGTAATGAAATTTAATCTTCTTTCAATTTTATGATAAAGAAGTGTAAGTATTAAAAAAAACAGGATATAAAGACAGTAAATGTTAACAAGTAAGCAGACTCCAATCCTACCTTATGCTCTGAAGAGACACAGGGACTAAGACATGGTGGCGACGGCTTCTCACATAAATCTGCCCAGTCACAGATAAACAGGAGGGAAGATCAACAAACAGCTTCTATTCAAATGCAGATTGATTCCATTGAATCTAATCAACTGGAAAACTTTGGCACAAGGCACTTTTCAGTTTTTTATTTGCAAAACAAAAGCTTTGAATTGTGTGATTTTCCTTCCAATTCACTCTCGTATTCCACTTTGTGTTGGTCTTTCACATTAAAATTCAAATGAGACGTACCTATTCGTGGTCATGGTTTAATGTGACAACATATGAAAAGGGGGTATGAATACTTTTGGAAGCCACTGTGTAAATGACTCAAGATAGGAGGATCTACTGTGTACCTGTGGTTTAATATTTGTTTTACACTGTATTCCAGCTAATCCGTTACAAATACAAGATGTTGGTGTAAAAGAAAAACAGATAAATGTTGGGACTTGTTGTGATACATCAAATCAGTGCCATGGAGAGTGTGTGGATTTGCCTATATATGCAGTCATAAAAAAATTATTTATCTGGTGTAGTCAAATATCTGCAGGTCAACTTACCTTCATTACTTGACCACTGATTTTTTTGTCCCACTTTTCTTCCCTATGAAGGAAAATATATCTACTTAGACGCATATTCATGCTATACCTAAAAAGAAGTTGTTTCAGCTTCTGCATGATCTGCTGTATAAAAATATTTGTACACAAACATTTTATAATCATGCATTATAAATGAAGAAACTGACTCATAACGCATTAATTCTGACAACACAAAGCCTACACTGTTTTTTTAAAATGAATTTCTACATGGTTAAAAAAATACTTAAATTATATGTTTAAACAAGCAAAAATATAATTTTACCTTAGAAACAGGAGAACACCGAGGCGTCAGAACAGGAGGGTCCTCTAAATCCGCCAAGGCAGCGGTCAACTCTTCGCACAAATCAGAAGAGGCAGAACACAAAATGAAAAGATTAGAATTGATAAGTATAATATTATCTTTGTAGATATTGTTGAATAGTTAAAAATGCACATAAGCCATTATTTTATTCTATAAACCAAATCCCAGAAACCTATTTTTACCTTAAAGACTAAAATATTTGCTGCTGTGAGACAAGCTTACCCTCCTTGTCAGCATGAATATTCTTCAGAGCCTTTCTTGTCATGTCCTTAACAAAACAAAGCAATGAAAAGCTGCTTTATTAAGAGTCAAACAGCAATTATTCAACAAAATTATATCTGGCTATTTGCTGCCTGGAATTATATTTTTTACAGTGTAATCAGACTAATTTTAATAGCAAACTATAATAATTTGAGTCAAGAGTGGAATTAAGTTTTGCGGCAAATATGGGTAATACTGTAATTTTTTATTATCTATTGAGAAAAATATGTACATTCATTTTATCAATAGAAGAAGTCACAATCAAATATGTGTTTTAGGAAACAGTTTTTGTTCTGAGGCTGTCAGCAAATGCTACATATGTGCTTCAAAATATGAATTCACTTTACTGCTGTTTAACAGTAAAGTAGCGGCACTTAATGTAACAGTGTAGATAACGTACATGTTTCACTCTGAAGATATTAGAATTCAAATGATTAAACTGGTTGAGTTACGGCTAAAAATGCTCACCAACAATGTTAGTGTCGTTGCAATAAAAAAAAACATTGCAATGACAAAATGTTGTCATTGCAAAACATTTTAATTCTACCCAATGTGCAGGTTTTGTGAAGCAAATCTGAGCGGATGCGCTTATCCTTCTTAGAATCTGTGCATTAGGTAGTTCAAGACTAAACAGACTGATTTATTAATAAGGGATAAATTGCTCTATATTTACCATCATTTTGAGAAGCTCCCCACTTTTCGCTTCACAATTTGTTCTCATTGTGCCTACTGCGGTTAAAAGGAAACAAGCACACAAAATAAAAACAAATGCAATGTCAATTTTGATGATAAAGCAACTTTGCTGAATGAGCTCTTACTCTGTGACGAGGCTTCCGAAGGGTCATGCTCTGGGCCTTTACTGCAAAGTTCACAACAAAACTCGTTATTCCCACCTTTTCATTGAAAACAAGTCAGACACAAACTCAAGGTCTTTGCTGATGAAGAATTAAACGAGCTGAACGCACCCGAGGATGTCAGTGTTACCAGTGGAGGACGCAGAACTCTACAAGGATGTTGCAAATTAAGATTCAAATTTGGGATATTAATATTAAGATAAAAGACACTCATAAACAGAGGAGACTATGACATCGTACCAACCTGTTTCTTAGTTCTTGCTAAGTGGGAGAGAGCCACCTCCGCTCTCCTCGCTATGGCATCGATTCTACTCTAATAAAGAAAGAAAAAAGCGTTCAGTAAAAACAGCTCCCTTTTTTCAAATGTCTCACTTATTTTTTAAAGGTTTTGTTGGCTCTAGTTAGACAGGAAGGAGGGCAATGAAAAAGGGAGAAGACGTGCGGCAGATGTCATGAGGCTGGGAATCGAACCTGCAACCACTATTGGTAGAATCATTATGTTTTCTTATCATTCTTACATTAGCAGTTTTACTAGTTTGTTTTTTATTCATAGGTCTAGTATAAACACCCCAGAGAGGAGGAATTTGTTAAACTATGTGAAAGGCACGGTTTTCCCCAAAACCTTGAAGATGCAGCTGCTTCATATCTTGGGATGCACCTTAAACGGCCTGTGTGTAGAATGTTACTTTCTGTATTCTCTTTCTTTGTCTGTTCAGAATAGCCCTCCCTCCACATTCCTTTCCTGCTGTGTTTTGTAATAAAAGAACAGTTCTGATGCAGAAAGTCAGAACGTATGGTAAACACCTTGAAGAAGTGGTTTGCTATGTTTTCTCCTTTTGCAAAAGACTTGATTGAAAACTAAAACGTTGTCTGTGGTTCTCTTTTTTATGAAGGTTGAGAAAATACCTATCATCTATCACGAGGATTCAGACTCATTCATCTGAAGAGCATCATTCCAGATGTCTAACTTTCTCTCTGGCCTGATTGCTGACGGTACAGACGTGCACAACAAAAACACAAAACTTTTCCCCTCACCTCTAGTTTCTGAATGGACGTTTCGAAGCTGGCTTTATCGTTTGTGTCTTGAATGTGTTGTATAATACTCTCCATCTGTCTTTCTTTATTTGCCACAGCATTCTGGACCTCCTGCTCAATTAGAGTTTGCACCTGTAGAAACACAGAACGTCATTGAGAATACAAACTCATTGCATTTGCACTTGGACATTTCCAGATATCTTGCACATGCAATGTCTGGAGATATGTCCAAAGGAATCAATTGCACTCATAGTTCTATAAGCTTTGGCTTAAGCTTTTTTTTTCTTTTTTTTTAATTAATTGCATTCTTAAATTAATATTAACCTCAAAGTCTCAGGTATTTTCTTACTTCTGATTGGGAGATCTTTAGCCTCATAACGCCGGCTTCAGCAGGAGGAAATGTCTCTGTTCTTCTCAAGGAAACAAAAAGTAAAGCCAAACAATTAGAGATTAGCCAAGTTTGCCTTTATCTGTATTTACTAACAAAAACTATGAAGCAAGAATACAATGGAGCAGATATGCACACCACTGTGAGAGAAAATCAAATACTAGAAAGCAACATACGACACTGAAGAACTGACAAACAGAGGAATTAAGAACAGGTTGATAAAATATATATATATACATTTACAAACCCTTTTTCAGACTGCAGACATAAAAAGTTCAATTTGTCTGTCTTTCACTTAGACATGGCATTCCCCAAGGATCCCTCCCCAGTCCCATCTTGCTGTCTAATGTTGCCCTTGAGGTCTGTTCTTTATAAACATAAGATTTCCACAAAAAATTTTAACTACAGATTTGGTTCTTAACCCATTTACTCCCACCAGCAACGACTGTTGCCAAACATTTTCTCAAACTTCCAAAAGCTCTAAAAGAATTGTTTTGACTTTTGGCAATTAATTGAAGTTTTAAAATAACGTAATAGTGCGTCTACTCTAAGCAATATCCATTTCATGTATCTGGTGTGAAAGGTCACATGACCAGACCTCTGTACTTCCCACCTGTAATGCTGGAGGTAAATGTCTGTCACAAACCTGAACAAGAGGGAGTCAGAAAAAATACTTTAATAAACAAATATAAATTAAATATTTTGAGCATATGTTCTTTCTAGTGTCTTCTACTGAGACAAAGTATCACATCCGCAGCAAAGCTACGGAGTGAAATACATTAATAAAGTTCTCGTGACCAAGACTGACCCAAACATCTCTTCTATGAGAAGAGGTTCAACAACTCCCAGGAACCCATTAGTTTGGTAAGTGAAAGAGAAAAAGCTCTTATAAAGGAGCAATGCCACCTTTTTTGGTGCTCTGTTCTTTACTAACAATAAGATTATCTGACATTTTCCAGCTCTTACAATTGAATAATTTCTAACAAAAATTAAAAAAAAAAACATACTTGCAGAATTCACTAAAAGAGGTAATATCAGTCCAGGTTAATTGTTAACAAGATGGCAGGAAAGTAGCATAATTCAAGGCATAATCTGTTAAAAGTGATGCCTTGTGTACTCACAAGGCATTGCTTTGTGTGTGTGTGAGTGAGTGCATTTTCTGTGCAAGCAGAGCAGTACAGTCAAAGCTCTCTTTATGGCTCAGAAATGGAGATGTGCAGACATCAATAGAGACAAAGAAAGCAAAAGCGACAAACTCTGTGAAAGCGCAAGCAAGACTGGTATGTATGCACATCACGCTGCAAGCTGCAATGCCTGCAGTGCAGCTTGCACTACAGCTGAGGAAGCTTTTCATATACAGAACTTACTCATTAAGAAGATGCAAGGCCACCTCTGCATCAGACCTGAATCCACGCAACTCTTTGAGGTCGCGCCAACTTTGAAAGGCCCCGCCGATGTTTATTCGACAGTCTCTCCGTAAGCCGTTCAACCGGCTTTTGGACAAATGTTTCATTCTCTTACGTTTGGCTGACAGATCAGCAGCTTCGCGAGAGCAAGTGAAAGTTGGGTTTTTGTTTGGTGTGGATGACATGCTGGGGTTAAGTCTCTGGTGTACTGTGGAAACAGAAGCTCATTACATCAGGCACAAAGCGTAGAGAGGCATCTCGGTGAAGTCGTCTGACTCCAATACACCTAGTGAGGTCACATGCATGCACGGGGAGAGAACATGGAAACTCCATGCAGAAAAAGCCCGGGCCGGGATTTGAACCCAGGACTTCCTTGCTGCAAGGCAGCAGTGCGACTCTGAAGCCCAGTGTGATTCAATTCAAAACCAGAATTTCATTTGTAATCATAACACGGATATATCTCAGTTCTTGTTTGTTTCTCTCGTTGTTCTGATGACGACATGATTCGCCATCAAAATGTTTTGAATCTTTCATCAATGATAAAGGCAGGCTTTAAGATTCAATAAGACAGTCAGGCATTTTTGCAATTTGGAGAAGGAACGTTCCAGCACAACAGTCTTAGAAAAGCAGCTTAGCTTTTCACGCACGTCCTTAAAGAAACGTTTTGAAGAAACACATTCACTTACAGCTGAATCTCTGGTTTCACTTCAATGCAAACCTTTTAGACTCTTGACGTGGGTAAAAAAAAGATGCTTCAAGCTTGTACGTGTGAAGATGGTGATGGCACAAATAACACTATAGAGCAGCAGATTTAACTGCATTTAAGATACGAAGGTTACGAGGTTTTCAGAAAAGTACGACAGTTCTACCTTAAGTACCTGTATTTCAAAAGCATTAAAATTATTAGTCAAATAGTTTACTAACAGTCACAATACCTCAACAACCCCTCTGAGCTTCGTCTCTATATATTTTTTCCGGGTTTTCTTCTTATTCTATTTGCTTTCGATGGCCGCTAGCAAATCAAACGCACAATGTGTGGGCGGGCGCCACCTAATGGACTGGAGTGTGCACCCATAAGAAGCCAAAAGACCCTTTTTCTTCAGTACAGCTTCATGAAACTTGTTTAGATTTTTTTTTAATAAAGAGAAACATACAATTTTGCAAGGCTACGAGAGAAATATTTTCTTTACAAGAAAAATATATTTAAAATATATTACTGGTAATCAAGTGTCCTTCTCTATTTGAAATCCAATGAATTTCACAAAATACAGAAGCTCAGACAGCTTCCCTGAATCTAAGCTAAGCATTTGAAAAACCTGTTTTTGTCCTGTTCTGAAAATCTAGCGGATTTTATTAGTAGTGGTAACTGGTTGAGTTAGAAACCGTCTTTGTTTGGTCGCTATTACTTTCGATTTATTACTTGGGATTCTGGGATAGTCTGCATTGTCTCATTGAGACTTTTTTTTTTAATAGGACTGGAGGAAATTCCACTCATTGGTGCTATGGACACAATTATTTCTGTAACTGTAAAAGAATCTGACTGTGTGAAACAGAAATAAGCATTTTATTATTTGAGGGACCTTTTCTGAAACTTAAGGTCACCTCATAAAAAAGTACAAATAAAGGAATACAGGCTCAAACAATTATTTATAATAATTGTGAAATATAGAAACTTGTCATCAGCACAGGTTATGGTAAGAGATGCTGTTACTCTACTTAGTTTACAGACTTCAGAATAAAATAAGCCCAAGAACAGAACCTTAAGGAACCCCACATGTGATCATTGTTTATTCAGATTTCTTATTGCCTAATGAAAAATTGTAATCCTGCTTCCATTTTGCCACTTTTATTGTAGTTTTGTTGACACTTTTAGTTGTAGGTCAAACCAAAGACAGGAAAGCAGAGAACAATAAACATATCAACACGTAATATTAATTAATATTAACATTTATTAAAAATTTATATTCAAAAGATGACCGGGCAGATATCTGTATATTTTAAAAAACCAAAGCTGCAGGTCCCAAACTGTCCACTGGGTGTCAGTAGAGATACATAAAAGCACAACATGATGTCCAATAGGTGATAGAGATTTTGCAACTGAGGTCAAAAATAACCACATGACAAACAAACCAGAATAAAAACAGCAAACAGTGCTTTGCAGCACTATACATGTACAGAAAACAGAAAAAGAAAACTTTATACACCGACAATTGTGTTTAGTATAAGCTCTTAAAAAGTTAAATATGACAATATGAAATGCTCAAGCAACGTAAGTTAATACTTCAAAAAGCTTTTTCTGGTGAAAGAAATTGTGTTTTTCTTATGGTTCTAATGAGAGACAATTCTTGACAAAAGCAGGTCAAATTTGGTACCAGTAAGACATCTAATCAGTATTTATGATTTTTAGATTTAAAAAACTGAATTTTGTTCAGTGTTGAGATTTGCTGTAATTTGAACAAATCTGTAGAAATGAAACAAAATGAATTCACATTCTTGCCCTACAACATATTGTTCCATCCATTTTCAAGTATCAGCTAGAGACAGCAGAGCATAATCATTTGCATGTCCATTCTCCTATTCCTCTTTATTTTAGTCTTCCCTAGATTATATGGTCTAAACTCCATCCAGTTTTTCTATTACAAATTACCACAATTAATCACTGATGGATAAATTTTAACATTTTCAAGAAATTTCAAATTGCTTGCTTTAAATGTTCATACATAAACATCAAGCCCGAGATTGATACGTGTCGGTTAATAAGCATAAATAAAATATATTGTTCTGAAAGGGAAACAGCTTGACCAGAAGGGCAGAACCGACAAACGTTTCTTACTTCAAACATCTCCAGTATTTAAAAATACAAGATAAACAGTGGTTTATAACAACAAATAGCTTTTCAGAAAAGCCATGACAAAAGTCAGTAACAAAGAAAATCTTCATTCATATTTCAAGTTTATCTGTTTCGTTCAATTTTAATCCCAAATAACACATTATATCACTGGTTCCTCTTTCTTTAAGAAATCACAAATTAGCATAAAAATATACAAACCAAGCATCTAAAATCCTAAATGTGACAATTTTGCTATGACTTCACTACACGTCTTTTATGTTTTGAGTAATATATCTTATTTATTTCTACTGCTAAAACCTAAACTGAATTAAACATACACTTCAAATATGTACACAAAAATGTTGCAGCTTACTGAAAATATGGGCCCTTTGGTGAACCTTTTTGTCACAGTCAAAGACATTTTTACACTTTTCCTTTTGTGAAAACTGTTGGAATTGGTCGGCAAAAGAACAAATAAAGAAGACGTGTTCGCAAAAGCTGCTGACAGGGATTTAAATTCCAGATGTAATTACTAAAAACCTGATTGAGAGAAAATGTGAAAATGCCCCTTTGTTGTCATGCATGAACATCCAAAAATCCTATCTAAGTTGTTGCTTGCATGTCACATCTATTTACGTTTCCTGAGCACCAGGTACATAAGGCCACTGATGAGAGTCATGGGAAAGCTAACCCATGCCACGATGTACGAGGAACCGTAGGAGCCCTGTTTGAGACTGACTGCATGGAAGTTCTGATTCTCCGCTGTGTAGATGGATGCAGAGATCATCACACATAGAGCTGGAAGGAAGAGAAAAAAAGTCAAAGTTACAAGCCAGCTAGCAGGGACTTCAGTGAATGTTCATGATGCATTCATGAGTGTACAAATTGACTGCAGGAAAATCAAGTATGTGTTAGCTTTGAAGTGTTAAGTAGTACTCAGATTGCTTTTTTAAGTAACTAATAACACATCATGTTACTTTTTATTTAAGATCAACAGCAAATGTCCCTTTTTTTCTAAAATTATTATATATATCATGACATTTTGCACAACTGTATGTGCACTGGTAAGGTATTCACACCGAGTACTAAATGATACATTTCACACAAATGGATTCTATTCTACAAATTCAACATGCATATTTACAAGATTTCATTTAGTAGCAAGAAGTGGATCTTGTTCCACTTCTGGTTTGTATGTGGTAGCAACACCCAACAGTGGTAGCAAATTGCGGTCGACATTTTACGTACAGGCAAGCAGCTGGATGATAGCTGTGAAAATGAATCTCTCTCCCTGTTTGATGCTGAACAGCTGAAGCATGAAGACAAAGAAGCTGACGCAGCACAAAATGGTTGACAGGATGATCGTAGCCTGAACTGCCTGTAGATAAGCTGAGAGGAAAAAAAAGAGAAAATGCGCTTTAAATGCAAACAGCTCAAATGTGTGTTAGGAACATAAGAGTTTTCATATTACCAGCTTCAGTAGAGTGACTGTTCTCCACCGGGTAGCAGGTGCTGTTACAGGAGTACCACAAGTCGGCATAGATTACTTCACGACCGGGAGGTGACACCACCCACCATGCCTTTGTCAGGGAGGGATAGGTTGACAAGATTAAAAAGCATATCTTGAAACGCTGCATGTGGAAGACATATATAGATCATTAGACTATGCTTACATTGTGAATTGTAGCAACAAACAGCAAGATGACTGAAGCCAGGTGGAAGAGGATGATGAAGGCTAAGATGATCAACATGGCTCCCCTGTTAGTCTAGTGCACAGTGTCCGTCTCTTCGATTTCCAGCTGGTTGCTTTGGTTTCTTTGGTTTCCTATAGGTTGTTGCAGGACCTGGTTGGTTCTTCACTGGCTGGAAACTGTAAGATGTAAGTTGATGCTTCGGGTCGGGCTACTTCTGAATGCTTGTGCTTTAGGCCACGCAGGCTGTGCTACTGGATGAGGGTGAAGACTGGATCAAAATCTGTCAGAGGTGAAAAAAAAACTGTAAAGATTAATTTCTGTAGTTATATGAACTATGACTGTGAAATACAGATTCTCACTGTTAGGCCACTTTCACAAAAAAACATGAGAAACTCCTGAAAGGAATTTAGATTTTTCTTACAGACAGCCAGTAATAATAAATTCAACCATTATGTTTTTCTATGTGTGCAAACTTTAAACTAAATGAGAGGTGAAGAAAGTAGCATTAAAGTGCATAGCTTTCAACACATCTGGAGCCAATTCCCAACATTCAGCTTTTGCAAACTTCTGAGAAAAATGCTGTGGTAATAAAACAAAAAAAATAAATAAATAAATGATTGTCGACTCAAAGTCTCCCTTGAAATTACAGAGAAATGTTAGTGTTGTGTCTGCCTCTGAGCCTGTGTCTGAGATGCTGAGCTTGTTAGTATATACATCTGCAATGAGTGGGAGTGTTTATTTCAAGGCTTTAATTCAGACAATGACTTGTTGACAGAAGCAAAAACTCTAGATACACAATTCTGTACTACGGTGGACAACAGTATGAAACGTATATGCAGAACAACTCTTAAACTCAGCCAAATTGAATGTACAAATTGTAAATGAAGGGCAGACAATGTGTTGTTTCAGATCACAGATTATTCTTCCGTTTGTTTTTTCGAAGAGTCCCTTCGGTATCTGTGTCATTATAACAAAAGAAAAAGACCACAGCATTTGGCTATTGAAATCAGCATAACACTCATGTCATCAGTCATTTAGATTCTCTACTTTTATTTCCTTTTAATCCATGCAAGAAGTTATAGTTGAACTGAAACTTAAACTATCTTATTATATTCTTATGATGTGTTACAGTACTGTATATTAATGCAACTTGTCATAATATGTTTGTGATATGTTTGTGAACCCTCCACAGATATTATTCTTACATAAAAGTTACATAATATATTTTACACATTTTCTGTGTCCCCTACATTGCTTGTAATCAACCTTAAACAGGATTCCTTATAGCTTCCTTTCAGCAGTGGCTTTCTTTGTGCCATTAAAAAAAAAAAAGTTATATTTGTGAAATGCGAAACTAATAATTGTCCAGATTCTCCCAAAGGAGCAAGAGTTACCATTAGCCTCTTGGTGCTTCTCTGATGAATGATCTTGCCAGCTTATTTTGACCATTACGTCTTTCCATTTTCAGATGATGACTCAAACAGTGGTCAGTTTGAGGAGACGAGTTGGACTGAATTTTATTTTGGGTACAAGAATACAAAGTGCCTACAGAATGTTTTGACTGTTTTTGTTAGAAACTTTGAAAATGTTGTGTATTTATTCTCCATTTATCAACTACCCTATTACACTAAAAACTTGATGAGGTACATCAAAGTTTGTGGTTGTTGTGTTATAAATCATGGAATAGCTCAAGGAATATTAATTTGAACCCAGTATAATGAGAAAAGCATACACTTGGTAGAAAGCGTGTGGTTATTTGACTGACCACACATCAGAAATTTTTATTGTTTGATTATTTGAACGGATCAGATCAGATGGATCCCTATTTCTATGATAGAAATAAAAACTTAATCCAAGTCAAATGTTCAGTGTTTATCAATGTCTGCTCTCATCACCCTAATGATATGTTTTATTACATCTAAATCTGAAATTATGAATTAAATGAAAATCAAATTTGTTTTTAAATACGATGATTAATCTAAAATGAAACAACGTGAATTACAAAGGACAGAGCGCCTCTTTGAGTAGGCCTTTTGGCTCTTCCTCTATTTCTGCCATGCTCTCAACTTTTATCACAGCAGCCTATTTCACATAGTAGTGACACACAGATAACCTCATTCTGCGTGATTTTTCAGCCAAGTTACTCCAATCAATTTAAAAGGAGAAGTTGCCTTGAGGAAACAGTGGAGTCAGAAAATAAATTATTTGCAAGACATCTTTGGAGGAAGAAGAGCTTCACATGCTTGTATTTAACAAATAAGTACAGACTACAGTTTTTTGGGGGCAATCTATAAGAGGCCTGACCTGCCAATACCAATATTTTGGTCTGAAATGTTGCTACTTACAGCAAGAAAATCAGTGAATTGGCAACAGAGGCCTTAGTATTACTAACTGCAAATGTGCAGACATGACCTGTTGGGTGGATCTGAAAAGAAGCCAGTGGTTGATTTTCATATCCTTGTCAAGGTAGATAAGATCAGTGGATAATATTACCTTCACATGTAAGTATTGGCCGATCTCCCAAAATGAAAGAAATCGTGGCCAACTTATCAGTGCATCCCTACTCGAAAGTGATTTATCTATAATTCCTAAGTGAAACTGATCTGAACACCTTTTTGGAAGTCCAGTGTTGAGCATTGACACAGGCCAAGTTGTACCAAGAATTTAAAAACTTTTGCTTTCAAAACTGAAGCAGTGCTGTTCCCATAATTTTTGAGTAAGATGCCACAGAAAGTGTCGGCATGACTGGAGCCGTCTCTAGCTATAAGACGGACAGAATAAAACAATGTTGTGATGCAACAAGCTGGTCAGCAATTATAGGAAGACTTTGATTGCTTTAATGCTAATTAGATCATCTTTTCCGCAGATTACCGAGCTGAGTAATTAACTAAATCTGATTATGCTGAGATTCACTGCATGCATTGGTCATGAACTGATCTGTCATTTAGCTCCATTTATTTGTGACCTTATAAATGAAGTTACTGAAAGGGCCTGAGCTCTGCAGAGGAGCTGTTTATATTCATATTTGTTGGGAATAATATTTCATCCAGTGTTTCCTGTCCAGTGAGTATACTCACTGGACAGTTCCTATTTTGAATAAGTATATTCACTAACTTTGGTCAATTTTATAGCTTTTTTTAAGCATATAGGTGGGTTAAAAACATTACATGGCTGTATCTTAAGAACTTCATAAATATAAAAATTATAACTACTGTCTGTCTTCTGTGTATTGTGTCACACATCAAACTCTGTCAATGTGGCAATTATGCCGGACAAGTTTACACAATCTGACTTAAGAAACAGCCTCCCAATAACACTTTGAAGCTGTGGAGGCAGAGACCCAAACAAAATTAAAGGCACATGTGTGAAACTCAGACACACACTCAAAAACACAGAGCCAGACAGTAGTGGAATTAGTCTTGTCTGCCAAAATGGAGCTACAATAAAAACAACCTCTCTCCGCCAACAGGAAGCCAACCGTCATTTTTGTGTGCCAGTCGTGCATGTGGCTGTGGGATGTGGCGTGGAATAGGACCTCCCACTTTGAGTTGGGGGGAATCAACAGCATTGGTAATGAGTGATGGACAGTTTTCATATTAGCAAATATTTACAAATTATACAAAGCTCTACACTTTATTCACTTGATTCTTTATCTCATTTCCTTTGTCTGGAGGCAGATGTTCCAGTTCTTTCATGAATAGCAAATGCTCCTCCTTATAATGCCCCAGACCAATTAAAAAAGAGAAAAACATTCAATACTGGGCCAGGATAAAATACTTGGCACAAAGCAGCAGCAAGTAAAAGGTGACAACTCCCAAGTGACAACACAGGTATAAAAGCAATGCAAAATGCAACTGAAAGATAAATTATAGTTTTATCTTGAGCTTGCCTGACCCCCTGCCCTTTTCTAATGCTGCAAACTACCAGACTAACTTCCTTAAAAGCCTGATGCCGTCACACATATCTGACCAGCTAAAGAAAAAACTAAATGACTACATCCACCATCGGCATCCAAGGCTTAACTAACCAGCAGGGGAATTCTTTGGTGGAAAGCGTTTACACAAACACAGTTGCATCTGTAACAGCTATGTCATTGTCAGGGAACAGAGGAGGAAAAAGGAGGAGGCAGGAAGAGAAGAAAACAATTTCCACTGGGAGAAGGACATTACGAGTGTAAACACACACACATTTTTGGTTTACCAAGAGTCAAAGTAAACACACACAAAAAAGAAGAAGTTTGGATGATTCAACAGCATAACCAGCATGGAGCGGAGTGGACATCAAAGCCTGTCAATGACTTGGCATGATTATGTAACTGTTAAGAATGTAACCTTTAAATGCCAAGTCCTATTTGAAAGACAAAAACAAATGTCTGACCTCCCATTTTCAAGTGTCACGGTGATTCTGAGCAATTTTTTTTTAATATTTTGGTCATTAATCACTTTGGGCTGAAGTGTGCAATGTTAATTCTGAATTGCCACTGTCCTCCATGTTTTACATCACAGGTCTCCAACCCCAATGTTAACGAGCCACTGGAGTGCAATTTTAAATGGATTCCTAATCTAATGCACTTGAATCTAATGGCTGAAATACCTGGCCTGTTAATGAGCCTTCATTTGTTTCATATGTGCTGATTTCTGCAGGCTAGTCTTTTCCCTGTAATAAAATTTTTCAGGGGGGATGTGGAGGGCCACGACATTGGAGAGGGGTTACAAAAGTGGAATTATATCTTATTTAAAAGAGCATTTGAATTACAAGACCCACTCTGCATGTAGCTAATAAAGTTACGCAGCTGAAATAAGAAAGGGACAAACAAATTATAAATTATAGTGGAACTTGAGTACAATTTCTGAGCTTATTTTGTACTGGATGAGATAGTTTTCGCTGTATGTGATGTTTGGAAACTCCGACTTCTTGGAGCCAAATATAAAGAACCACAGAGACAGATAAACTTCAACCACCAACTGAACGCACTAACACATACAACTAGAAGCAGGCACACATGCAGCCATTCCTCCTCTCCACTCAGCCTTATAATAGGAGGCTGGGGGACTCAGTATTTGAGTACCAGTGTGTGTGCGTGTGCGTGCGTGCGTGCGTGCATGTGTGTGAGCATGTCGGCTGATTCTCTTGCCTGGTGGAAAATGCTGACTTTTAAAGTCCTTTTTTTTACTCCTTTCATAAAACACAAAGCCACAGACTTAACTGGGCTGCTGAGTCTCACTCCCCCGTCTCTCTCAGTGTCCCACTCTTCCTGTCTCTGTCCTTCCTCTGTGTTTC